TTGTCTCTTTTGGGGCAAAAAAAAAAAAAAAAAAAAAAATGTGACCACTCGCTGACGATAGAGGAGGAGCTCTGTAAACAGACACACACACACACAGAGAGAGAGAGAGAGAGAGAGAGAGAGAGAGAGAGAGAGCGCCTCACAGCAGCGGGATCAGCAGCATCCTTCACGGTGATGAGCGCAGAGAAATCACCTCTAGTTGTTGAAAACGGTGGATGGTGCTCTCGGCTTGGCCGACCACGTGATCTGCCTGGCTTATTAATAACAGGTTAATAGAAGCCAGGTAAGGCGGCAGGCTGCGTCCCTCCCCTGTTTGGTTCACGCAGAGGAGGCTTTGGTGATGTTTCAGTTTAGAGGGAGGAGTTGCCGTGGTTACACAGCAAAGGCAGCAGCTTCCTCTCCTCCCCCCCCCCTACCCCGTTCCTCTGATGACGGAACAGGTGGATGCGCTCCAGCTCAGCGCTCCGACTGCACGCCTTGGGTCATTTCAAGGTTACCTGCAAGCTGGGGCTCCATTTCTTAAAGCTAAACGCAGATTTATTAAGTTGATCACTTTTATATTGCATTCTCACCCTTTGAATTAAGCAAATTGCACCAAATTGTATCTGACTTTCCAGTCTACCTAATCACTGTATAAAAGCGAGGCATAATAGTGAATAGTGTTGTATAGCAAACACTGAAGCTTGTCACCTACAAGAATATTTGGCTGCAATTAATACATAGCCTATTGAAAAATTTTTTTTATAAAAACATGCAAACAGTTAATATTCAAAGACTTTTGAATACATTTTTTTTTCTTTTTTAGCACTCTTAAGGCCTCTAAGTACCACCTAACCCCTTTTATGGCAGCTGAAGGATACATCATCTCATCTCAGTAGCAACTTTGTACAAGTAGCAATCAACAACTCATCAGTTTGTATTTTCATCTAAAAATGTCTCCTCTTGTTGTTTGAGGTTAAATAGGCTAACATTAGCAATGCAGCACAATCCACTGCAGCAGGAAGTTAGAAAAGTATTGAATCAAAATTGCAATGAATGCTGGTATTTTTTTATATGATCTATTACAATGCTGTTTTGCCAGTGTAAGAGCTGCCATTGCTTTACATCCCATCTTATGTAGTTTTCTTCTGAAGCTGTAATATTAATAGAAACTTTGCTTCAAGTGTGATTCATATGCTGCTAGTTTATGTTTTTTTTGAGGGGGGGAGGTGAGGTTGTGAGTATAACATATGCATTCTGGCAGGTATATATGTTACATGGGAGTATATTTTGGTCATTCCATAACATTTTTTAGGAAATTATTTTGGGAGCTATGCTACTGTCCACAGCCTCTTACAGAATAAGCACATTTCCATAAATGTTGAACTAATTTTGATGTATTTAAACACGAGTCGAAAAAGGTCACAGTTGCTTCAATATGCATATATCAAGCTTTTATCTGACAGCCAAACAGTCAGGATGGATGAGGGGATAAACAAGACGGATAGAGAGACGAAATGAATGGATGCGATACTGCATAAAGCCTTAACGGCGCCCCAAGCTGCATGTTTCCCCTGTCACCTCGCATAAAACCTCAACCACTTAGCACCAGGCAGGTTAAACTCCGTTAGAGGGAAGCAGGCATGCAATGTTTACACACTGTCTGTGTGACAGTAATGGCCTGGTGCCGAATAATAAATCACATGTCGCTGACCTTATTGATTCTCG